TCAAGCTTATGGAAGTCCTACAAGATATTAAATATGGATCTCACAGCAACACGTCTTCATTCACTGATGTTACGCAACTGATTTTTGTATTTTAAGTAAATTATTTGTTCAATTTTCACATTACTCTCTGTACTGATGGTGTTTGGAAATGAGGATCACAGAAGACGAGTCATATGACTCCACGTCCTCCTCTTCCTCCTCCTCCACGTCCTCCTCCCCCATGTCCTCCTCCTCCTCCACGTCCTCCTCCATGTCCTCCTCCACCTCCTCCTCCACGTCCTCCTCCTCCTCCATGTCCTCCTCATTCTCTGTCTCACTGTCGCCATCGAGTGGGGAAAAGACAACCTGCAGCCTCATTTGAAGTGATGCATGCTGGGAGACAAACTGGTCTGCTATTTTAGTTTTACTTCTCATTCATTTCATGTTGTGATGAATAATAATTTGTTGTCTTCATTCGCTCTTCACCTCCTTCCCTGCGTCTCCTGTGATGACATCATGATCACCTTCTCATTGCTCTCGTTAGGAACAAAGTCAACGTTTTATCTCACTGAGGTCCTCAGGTCCTCAGGCTGTTGAGCAGATGGTTCCTCACAGAAGGTCTCACCTCTGAGGGTCCTGATCCTACAGGTAGAGACATCCGTGACCACGTCCCACAGGGACACGTGGTACTTTATACTCCACTACGTCCCACAGGGACACGTAGTACTTTATACTCCACTACGTCCCACAGGGACACGTGGTACTTTATACTCCACTACGTCCCACAGGGACACGTGGTACTTTATACTCCACTACGTCCCACAGGGACACGTGGTACTTTATACTCCACTACGTCCCACAGGGACACGTGGTACTTTATACTCCACTACGTCCCACAGGGACACGTGGTACTTTATACTCCACTACGTCCCACAGGGACACGTAGTACTTTATACTCCACTACGTCCCACAGGGACACGTGGTACTTTATACTCCAACACGTCCCACGGGGACATGTGGTACTTTATACTCCACTACGTCCCACAGGGACATTCTGGTGAAAACTGAGACGTTCTTCTTTAAGTTGAGTAAAGTGTTGGAAGATCACACCAGTTATCTTAAAGGCGCAGACGAGTGTTTGAGGAGCATATTTCAGAATAAAGTCTGCACAGCTCAAGGGTTCCTGAAATTATTCAGGAAGTCGGCTGCATCAAATTGACCCTAATTATGATTGAATTATGTTTAAATACCTTTATTTATTCATCAAAAGACATGTGTCCTCCTGCTGAGGACACTAGTACGCTCTGACTAAAGCAAACCTCTGGGCCGAGGAGCTTCTGACCCGGAGGAGAGCGCGTCCTCCCGGAGCGTCTCACCTTCTAACCGTTGTTCCCTCTGAGCTGCAGCGTCACGCTGAGGAACAAGCGGCGCTCCCCCGGGACGGACGGCCGTCCCTCAGGTCAGGGAGCTCAAATCCTCTCTGCACACAACTTATTAAAAAGGAGGATTCCTGTTTGGCACAATTTGCTTTTTAAACCCGTTTCAGATTTTTAACAATAACGACACACAATTTGGTCGTTGAAACTGTTTATTTGATACAAAAAATAAGTTAGATTTCAGAAAGGTAGATATGAAAAAGTAATAAATAAGTCAAGGTTTTGTCTCGGCGGTCTCCGGGGCTAGAAGGACAGGTCGGGGGGGCAGCGTAGGTTTCCCTGGGGAGGAAACAGGAAACGCACCATTACTCGACTGGACCCAGTAAGGTCGTTACGCATCACAGCACGAACTAACATCTTGGATCGGATTGGATCAGCCTGTCAGGAAACAGCGTCCATTCGTGCTTTATTACGAAGACAGAGAGCGTGTGAGATGTAGCGTCCCCTCCTATGAAGCCACTGCCTGTCTCACCGTGTCCATCTTCTCTCTGAGCCACGCGGCGTCCGGCCTCACGCACCAGCGGCCCTTCCTGTTGGTAACCCTGGAAACGGACACAGGAAAACAACGTTTTCACCACCTCGATCGAGATCCCGACTGTGCAAAGGTCCCAGTGGCCCCCGGGAGGCGCTCCGGTGGGGGAGGCCTCTGATTGGCTCTGCCGGGGGGACGGCGTGCTTACAGGAAGGCGTGCTGGCAGCCTCTTCGGGGCCGCTGCTCGTAGCACCCCCGGACCACGTGGATCCTCCTGGGGCTGAAGCTCCTGCAGCAGGCGATGCTCGGACCGAAGGAATCCGCTGGGGGGGAAACGCTCTTTTACTCGTCGGCAGAGTGGGAGGGGCCAATGGGACGTAACCATGACGAATACATTGAGTCATAACATTTCATGCCAACAATGTCACAAAATACAGAGTTCTTTTTCAGAGCCGGTGACATTTTTAAATTTCTCCTTTTGTCTGATCAAAAGTTAAATATTCAGTACGTTCTCGTACACGAAGGAGAAAAGCAGAGAATTTAATTTGACCTGGAACCAGCAAATAAGTCTCAGTGTTCCCTCAGACCCTGAGAACTCGTTAACCGACGTGGAGGAGGAGGACGTGGTGGAGCTGTGGTGGAGCTGTGGCGGAGATGAGGTGGAGCTGTTACCTCGTGGCGTGGAGAAGAGCATCATGACGGCGAGCAGGCCGAGGCAGCAGCGGGTGGAGATACTCGTCCTCATCTTCAGGATGAATGAACACGAGGAGCCGGGAGCTTTAAATACCCCAGCAGGCAGAAAGAGGAACCGGGGGGGAAACAATCAATACCTCAGAAGGTAGCAGAGCTTTCCCCTCCTGTTACGTCCATGCATGACGTCCGTCACATGACGTCCGTCACATGACCGGGCCGCGCAGGCGAGAAGGTCGAGGTCCATAAAGCATCTGACAGTAACTTCCATCACTTGGTTTTAAGCTCAAGCTTCTCAGCTCATCTGTTAAAAGATGAATACGTTTTAATCGTGTTGGATTGGACACGCTAGACTTGAGCTTTATTAAACCACAGATACAAATCTGTGTGTTTTCTCATGACATCTTCGTGTCTGAGGTGCACGAGAAGGGAAGTCACTCAAACTGACAATAAGTCAGACGGGTTATATTTAAACATCCGCCGGTCCCACAATAACCTGCAGCAGCGTCACAGCGTGAGGCAGGAATCACTCACAAAGACAGACGAGCTATTTAAAGGAGGTCTGAGCGTTCAACCACTTCCTCCAGTCTTCATCGGCAGGTACGGTCCACTGTGGGTGATTCATGCGTTTCCATGGTGATCAGAAACAGCATCAGAGACACTAAAGAGGTGTCGCTGATATATTTCACATATCTTAATGTGCTGGTATGAGATTAGAAAAGTCCCCAAAAGCTTTTATTAGATTTTGTTCAATTCAATTTATTGTTGCTTTATTGGCGTGAAAGCGGCATCATAATGCATATACAAAAATATGAATATAATTATTAGTGCCGATTTAACACACTGGGACTGTGTGGTAACAATTCTATATATTTGGATACACGTAATCACATTTTTAAGTCAAAAATGTTAAAATACATGCTTTTAATGACATTTTTTATTAAACAGGGGAAAAAAATAATAAATAAATTGTCATGAATTATAAAGAATTTAAGTAAGATTTTGAGCCTGATTATTTCACAGAGGAGTTTTGAAGAGTTTCCTACAAAATAAAAAGTCTGAATTTCAGATTGAATACAAAAAGTGGATTTTTATTGATTGTAAAGCTGCAATTGTTAATTTCTCCGAAACCTAAAGACATTTATCGAATGTTATACATCATCAAGACATTTCTCACATTTAACAAACCGAAACATCATTTTTGCTGAGAAATGACTGAAACAATAAAACAGTAAATCCACTTAATATTGTATAAACGACAAAACGTGAGGAGTTTCTATTCTTCTTGGAGACTTGAAGAAGCATGTGGGCATTAATAGATGTTTCTATGTGGTGTATATGTGTGTTTGTATATACCTTACATTAATGTAAGGTATATACATGTATATATGTGTGTGTGTGTTTATTTATACTTGTATGTACATGTGTGTTTTTGTGTATGTATATATAGTGTATGTTCATGCGTCTGTTTGTATACAGCGAATGTGTGTGTATGATAAATGTCCATTCCATCGTTTCTTTTATATTAGCCGCGTTATCTCGCGTGTGTTCTCGCGAGATCTGGCCAACAGCGCCCCCTTGTTTGTGTGTAAACGCAGCGGGACCGAGGGACACTGCGCGGCTAACGATAGCACGGCACACAAACAGGGATTTAATTCACGTTCGCTGTCCGCCGACACTCAGGGGGGCTTTCAAACGCCGCGGCAGGACGTCGTTTTGCCTCCGCCAACCTCCAGCTCTTCCCGCCGAGGCGAGCGGCGACGACTGCGCGCGTCCCGCTAATCCCGAGCAGGGGGAGACGCGGCCTGCTTCTGTAGCGGGCTTTCCGGTGCGTCTAAGGCGGGCAACGCTGTCACCAGAGCCCGGGGCTTCCGCTGGGTTGTTTCTATTCACACACGCAGAAGCGGCGGAGCTTTGACGTTGTTCGTGTTTCCGGAACTTAAACCTCCCCGCCGCTCATTTGTGTTCTTATCGGCGAGCTGCTTTCCGCGTTTCTCTGCCGACAAGATTATTTTAAAGCCGCTGCGGCCTGTTTTGTTTCCCCGGATCCGCAGACGTGAAAACCCTCCGCGGGACAATAACACCCGTAAACGAGCCCGATGGGGCCGCTGTGCCCGGTCGCGACGGGACGCACGGAAGCCCCGGTGCGGGGAGACGATACCCGCGCCGCGTGACACCGCCGTGTGATACCGGGACGAGCGATGGCTGCGGACTACGGAAGTATCGCGGGGGAGACCGCTGCAACCCGGACCACTCTGTCTCGGACGCCGCTGTTTTGATGCTGCTAGCCGGGCAGCCACCCAGTGAGGATTGTATGGAACCAAGCCGAACCGACCCGCAGGTACCGACGGACGGATTGAATGTGATTCGGGGATGAGTAACACCGACCGCACCAGGCGCAAGCTGGTTGACATGTTGGATCTACCGACCCGGGACCGACGCCGTTACACCTCCATCTATGCCAGACTCCATTGAGAAAAACACTGAATTAGCGCGTTTTTTTTAACGTATTAGTACATCTTAACCCGACCGGAAACCCCCGAATTTGGAGCCCCCGGTACAGGCAGCGGAGATGAACCCGGTGAATGCGACCTCTCTCTACGTGTCCGCGAGCCGCTCGGTGCTGCAGTGCGACCCCCGAGACCCCCGGGCCCTCGCGGAGCTCTGCAAGCTGCTGCCGTTTTTCCGCCAGTCCGTGTCCTGCCTGGTCTGCGGTGAGTGTGTGTGTTTGTGTATTTTTATGTGGTTGTGCTGGAACACACGTGTAGAGATCCGGTGTTCGCGAGGGGCTCGTTGTGGTCAGCTGTGCTTGCAGTGGGAGCGAAGCTTTCAATGATGCCGCTTTCACGTACAGTTGGAAATATTTATATCGCCTCTACTACCGGGAAGTAAACAGGTGCCTGCACCGGGAAATGAGGGACTCGCACTTACATTCGGTCGAGTTAGGGTGTATTGTGATTTGCATAAATTCGTTTTAAATACATGTTTAACATTTAATATAACGTTATGTTAAAATAATGGCTCAAGGGTGATATAGGAAAACCATGTACTGTTAAATGTACATGTTAACGTACGCTTTAATAGAAGCAGACAAGCGTAACGAAATAATGTGTGTGTGTATATATACATATTAGTTGTATATACTGCGAGTAATACTCCTACTAAATTAAATATCTGTATGATTTACTACTTTCGCCGCGGTGTCTGGAAAAGGCTACGGTTTCCGCAGCGCCGTGAACGCATCGTGGCTCTCAGCGTGACACACCCCCCTCTGCGTGCCGTGGGGCCGCATCGGGTGCGTCGTGTGGTCGAATAACAGTCCTGCCACACACGGGGGGGCAGGTGATGAAGGCGAACCTCACAGTGTTGATGTGTGTAACTGGTTGTCTTTGCCCCCCCCTCAGCTGTAGCGGGTGGATGCACGGGGAACACCACCTCCTGAGGTGAAGGGGGGGGGGCTCCTGTTTATTAGCACGTCCGCTGTGCTGATATCAACACAGAAGCACTCATCACGTCGCGTTAAATGTAGATGCTTCTTTCTTTTGATGCTCATGAATGGACCAGCACCCCCCCAATCTGCAGCTGCACTCCCTAGTGAGCGGCGTTGCCAAGGAAGCTCATCTCAAAGAGCGGTTGTCATCCAGCCCGGCACGTTGCCAGGCAACGCTGTGGTTTACTAAACACCGCTCCGATCAAAGGAGGAAGTTTGTAAATCCTTTAATGTTGTCGATCTGCGCTGACAGCGTGTCGCGCATCCTGAGGTTCGATGACACTCCAGGTGTGTGTGTGTGTAGCCTTTGTCTGTTTCCTAAAACGAATCATTCCTCGCCTCCAGGTAACCTGCTGCGGGACCCCATCGCCCCCACCGACTCGTCATGCCAGCACTACGTGTGTCGGGGCTGTAAGGGTCAGAGGATGCAGCTGAAGCCGTCCTGCAGCTGGTGCAAGGACTATTCCCGCTTCGAGGAGAACCGGCAGCTCTCCCTGCTGGTCCACTGCTACAGGAAGCTGTGTCTCTACATCACGCAGTCGCCGCTCGCCCCGCACATAGCCAGCGCCGCCGGCCACTCGCCGGAGCTCCGGGCCGTCCTCAACGAGGGCCTCTCGTTGGCCGAGAGCGAGCCGGGGGCCGCGGACGGCGAGGACGCGGCGGCCAAGGACCTGAAGGCGGAGCCGCCGAGCCCCGTCGGCGTGAACGGGCTGCACGGCTGTAACGGCCTGGCCGGCCCGGACGCTCTGCAGCGCGTCGCCGTGGAGACGGGCGGGGGCGTGGCCGAGCAGGAGAGCTTTTCGGAGGAGATCCCGCAGTGTGTGAGCGTCAGGGGGCCGGGGGAGGCGGGGCTTTGCGACATTGCTTCTTTCGGGGACGACTTGAAACACGGCGGGGGGGCGTTGTTGTTGAGCGTGGAGGAGGTGCTCAGGACTCTGGAGACGGGCGCCGACCCCGATTCGACCCCCCAGCTCAACGGACCTCACTTTCCCCCTGACTCCCCCCTCTTCGCCTCCCTCCCCCGAGGGAACAGCCCTCGCCCCCTCCAACTCACCAGCAGCCCTCGCAGCAGCCTCCCCCTCAGCCTGCACGGTCGTCCCCCACGCCCCCCCTCGCTACCACCGCAAGCGCTCCCGCTCCGAAAGCGACAGTGAGAAGCTGCAGCCCCTCCCCATCTCCACCCTCCTGCAGGGGCCTCCCCTCGCTGCCAACAGCTCCCCCCACCACCCGAACCCCGGAGCCCCCACCGAGCAGGAGCCCAAGTTCCCCGCTGCCACGGCCCGCCCCCACCCCCACCCGGCCCCGGTGCCCAACGGGGGCCCCCCCAAGGTGGGAAAGACCGTGCTGGTCTCCAACAAAGCGCTGAAAAAGACAGTGGAGCACCACGGGGCCCCCAAGAAGGCCTACACCAAGGCCCGGCAAGGGACCCCCAAGCCCCGCACGCAACCCCGAGACAGAATGCCCCCCCACGCACACCCCCACCCGCTGATGCACCCGCCCAGCCCCTCGAAGCCACTGTACAAAAAGCCCGTGGAGAAAAAGGGCTGCAAGTGCGGGCGAGCCACGCAGAACCCCTCGGTGTTGACCTGCAGGGGGCAGCGCTGCCCCTGCTACTCCAACCGCAAGGTCAGTGTTTCTAACCCTCGGGACCAAACCTCCTAGTTGATGTACAGGAGACCAAAAATATCTTCTGGTTAATCATCATAATTGGCTCACTGGAGGTCTTCATCTGCTTCATCTGAACACGAGGGATGTTATTAAAACTCAATAAATGTTTTTCATTTTCT